GCTGTTGTAGTGAAGGCGCTTGTCCCCCACTGGACCAGCGGGTGGCGTGGTAGTTAAGGTGGCTGTTCCCTACTGGACCAGCGGGTGGCGTGGTAGTTAAGGTGGCTGTTCCCTACTGGACCAGCGGGTGGCATGGTAGTTAAGGTGGCCGGACCCCACCTGACTAACTGCAGTTAGAGCCCTGGCAGCTTGAAAACCACACCAGCTGCGTGTGCCCATGTGTCCACGATCCCAGAAGGAGAAAGGGAGAAGAGATTGTGGGGTGACCATCCCCCATGGGGAGTACTTTCTCTTTCACCCCTGTCCCCGTCTTTCTCTGGTGAGCACATGTACCCTCGAGAAAATTAAAAAGAGAAAGTTACAGGACCAGCAGATGGTGTAATGGTTATGTCGCTGGACTCCTACTTAGTCAACCACAGTTCAAGTCCTGGACCTGATGGCTTCAAACTCATGCCAAGTGCATATGCGTGCGTGCCCAAGATCCTGAGAGGAAAGTGGAAGAAAAGGGATTGTAGTGGGAGTGATTTCTTGCTTGCTTGCTTTCTGTCTCTCTGGCAAGTGCACACACTCTATAGCAAAAATCTCTCTTAAAAAATAAAATAAATGAATAAAGTTACCCCACATATTTTTGTTCCCACTCCTGTCCACACATAAGCCCCAACATCTGTAGCCTTCTCTTTATTCCAACTGGGTCAAGCGCACGAGGGTCACCATCTCCCCTAAACAACAGCGTGGACACAGCCAACCACAGACACCTGTCGCTCAGGGAGAGCCTCAGCATGGCATCCACCCTCTTGCTGTTCAGTTTGCCCTGGTGACCATGGACTCTTCCCAGACTGAGGTGATATGAAAGAGCCGTGACCCCAGCGTGCAGCCCCCTGCCTTTGCGTGGTCCTCTGCAGTGATCTGCAGTGCTCATTGGTCGCTGGGAGAGTAAGACTGAATACATTCTATGGGGAAGCGTCCACCATAAAAATACCCTTCCACACCCCTGCACTTTCACTGCGAGGTTACCCAGGTTCCAAGAGACCGAAGAAAAAGAGATGATCTCTGTGCAGCTTCCCTGGGAGTCCCAAGTCCCTTACTGGACCTTGCAGTCTGTGGTCTTTCTAAGGTGAGGACTCATGGATTTGGAAACTAAATTCACATCACTCTGCTTTATACCCAGGGCTTCCT